CTGTGTTATTGAGCATACCCGACAGCAGTTATCAGATATATTTAAAAGCGTTAACCCATATTACTATGTATTAGTTTCGAAACTGTGTTAATCACCTAAGTATTTAGTCACTATTACTTAATACAAATTAAATGCTATGCAAAAACAATTAAAAAACTGACTTTTATTTGTAGTTATAGAAAAAGTTTCTAAAGCTGGCAATTTAACGTATGTTTTTGAATTTTTATGGTGCTGCCAGATCGCTCAACTAATAAAGCTGCCCCATCGAAGTGCACTTTTATTTCCTGCTTCCTTTTAAAGATCAGTCAAAGGGAAGCTTTGCATCAAGTAATATATACATATATCCTTTACAGATGTGTATGACTTGCATATCGTATCCAAAAATAGTAATAATTACAAATTCAAAATATTTCTAATCTATATTATGAATAAAATGTAATTATTTCATCATACAACCGATAACCATTTAAATTATACTTTGTACGCAAATAAAATGTCGTATAGATATGACGAAAATGGCAAATAATTGTTTATTAGTCATTTGTTGACATTAAAATTGAATTTTGCTTAAAGGAAAAAAGTGGAGTTCGATATTCATATGTCGAATTGTGCAGTCATTTGCCATACAAAGCAATTCTATATATTGGCATTAAGTTCTCTTCATAACGTCTTCTAACTCAATCAACAAATGCATTTTAAGGGTTTGCTTTTAAATACATATTGAAAAATATTTTTAATATAAAAACGGTTACATTCTTAGCTTAAAACTATTGTGTAAGTTTATGTGTATTTCTTTTTTTTCGGGGTAGCTGCCTGCCTACCGAACTTTTCAGTTTTCACTTTTATATGCTAGAAAATTAAAACATGTCTGATGCGAACAAAAATTATGATTGTTATATGATTCAGCTACAATATGTCTAGATGAATATATATATATATGTGTGTATATATACGTATATATATGTGTGTAAAGTCAAAGTTCTTAGAATGCATTGTTTTTGATGTTTTTTCTTTTGGCGAATGATGATTGTATAGTTGTCTAAACTTTGAACGCACACTGAACACAGAAAATAATCTTGATATTTTCAATCGCGTTTCATTTTGCTGTTTTCCATGTGCGAACCTAAGTTTAGTTCAGTTTATGAAGGTGGTGTTTTTTCTTATAAAAAACTGTATAAAATTGTTGTGTATATAGAAAAATCTGTTGAACCCCTTGCCTAGGCGTTATAACTTGTTGCTTAGAAATTACTACATAGTTATGCTTATGTATGCTATTATATATGTAACTATGTACCTATGTATTTGATGAATAGGTTTAAAATTATTTCGTGTTGTGTGAGCTGGAATACGTTTGGCTGGCTATTGACACTGCTTCCTCAATATATGGAACGTTTCATTGTTCTGTTTTTCGTTTCGCCTGTCGATTTAATGGTTTGATGTGCATATTGTTGATTACAAATTGTTTTTATTGTTTATGGTGTCTTTCAGTCAATGACCACACGGGTGAGGAGTATGCCGCGCTTGCTAAGCCACAAGCTATAAATAAAAAAGAGATGTTTTAATATTTTAAAAGCTTGCGATAATATGAAATGATTATATTTTACCCAAAGCCGGCGCCCAGCAGCAGCGAGAGGACATTAGTGACCAGCAATGAGTATAAAATTTCGCGGGAGAACAACGAGTTGGCGCCCAGACGCTTTAAGCGTATGGAATAACCCGAGCTCTTCTTCTTCTCCTCCTCATCATCGTTGGAGCGCTCAAATTTCCAATCTCTGCAACAAACATATCAACACAAACGAATGAATTAATGAAAAAACAATACAAGTATATACAATAAAATGGTATATAATGTCTTTATATAATAAAGTTGCTCACTTTGGTGGCTGCTCATCGGCACCGCGATTCCAGTTCTGCAGCCAGTCTCCATTATCGGTATTTTGTTTATCGCCATTCTGTTTCGGTTGTGCATATATAATTAGTTCAAGTGCCCACTGGCAAGGCCATTTCATTTATTTATCTGCACTCACCTTAGTCCAATAATTGATGTACACATTTCGCAGCTCATCATCCGGGCACAGCTCCGATTGTGGACTGTTTGGCGGACTCTTGGGGCTGTCTCGCGGCGTATCACGGCGCGAACTGGCCAAGGACACGACACGACTGGACTGATTTGATTCGCGTTGCGCCTCGCGCAACAAACGCAAATATTCCTCGCCATTACTGAATGGCAGCGGTGTAATTCTGTCGGGACTCTTAATGCCAGCCATGGCAGCTGTTGTGCTCAGTTCAATCCAAGATTCTGTAAGGTACAACAAGGGAATGGATGATATTAGTTAAGTTTAAAAGAGCCAATGCTAAGCACACAAATTAAACATTGTATTCACATGCATGAGTTTAGCTTTTAACTGGCGGATTTAACGTTATTTTAATTTTAATCATTAACAGCCGTGCCGCTGTAATTAACAGCGACCATTATTTTAAGCAGTTGCACATTCATAGAATTGGCAGAATGCCGCAGAACAGGTTTTCTATGTTTTTGTAATTAACAATAAATACGCATTGGCTTTTAATTTTTATTGTTTTTTTTCTTAGCGCAGTTTTTGTTTGCTCACAAATACTTGGCAGCACTGGTAACGGCTTGTTTTGGCTTTTTACTTCAAGCTTGGCAGCACTGCGCCAGCGTGGTAGCAGAAGCTGCCCCAGCTTAAACTGTTTGTTTTGGCTCGTTTTTAGCTGGCGTCTGGCAGCACTGTCCAATATTTCAACAGTTGAGTGTGGAGAATAACCGAAAAGCCGCCCCCATTGTGGTTGTTTGTTTGACTATGATATGTATGTATATTTATATGTGTGTGTGCGAGCGTGCGCCCCCGTTGATAAGGTAAACAAAAAAAAAAAACAATTTCCGTTTTAGTATATTACACATGCATGTTTTGTTGTGTCTGCTAGCGCTATCAACAAAATTTCATTTTCAACTAAAACAGGCGACGATCGTGGAAGATTGCAATTGAAGAGCGTGCAAACTACATGAGACTGTGACAGCAGCTGCTGATAATCGACAATAACTGTTCTATGGTTGTCAATTAATTACGCCACGGGCTAAAATGTTTACACTCACGTGGCAGACCAATCATGTTGATATATGGACAAGCAAAACTATACTGAACATTTTGCTGAGAAACTTTCACAAATTGCAAACAAAAAAGCAAACTCAAAAATTAACAGGTAGCTGTCGGGGTCTTGCACAGGTAAATCAAAATCGAAACAATAACAAAGCTGACCCATAAACAGGTTCCACTGGGAAATGGTAAAACCAGCGAAAACAAATAGGTGCAATAAGGGTAGCAAAGCAAAACATGGCTTGCTGACTCACAGCACGTAGGCAAAGTGCGCGACTCTCGACTCTCTTGCTGTCTCTATCTATCTCTTTTTCCCTTTAAATGTGTATGTGTGTGTGCATCATGCGCAGCTGTTAAACCCTGATCCGAGGCTGTCAAGCGTACAGCCCAATGAACCGCCTTTTGTTGACTCCGTATAGGTATTGGCGCTCAGATTCGCTTGCATTTATCACATATACATATATGTGTGTGTATATAAGCTATATATGTAATACAATTTTACGTTTTTGATAATGAGCTCCAAGCGTCGCACACAAATTGCGGCTAGGCTAAAGTCGCAATTTCTGGACTATGTGAAAATACAAGAACACAAACAACAAGTGACAAAAGGCAAATGCCCTCCTACAAGCGCTTTTAAGCGAAATTTTGCATACACACTCATTCTCACATATAGCCAAAGAGCCGCGTGACGTCAATTAGGCGAAATAAGATAAATATATAAAGTGCAACTGTAAATAAAAGAACGCGAGGCGCGTATGAATGGGGCGCTAATCCCAACTCTTTCGTTAGTCTCCTTTGTCTGCTTTCTGTTTCTCTGCGGCGAAGTTGAGAGTCTTTGTTGTTGTCATCGCCTGATGAACGGCTGCTGCGCAAGAAAGAAATACGTATAAACGTAAACACACATACATATATACGTAAGCAAAACAAAACAAGACTGGCAATAACAAAGTGGAGCCTTGAAACTGTATATGGGCAAGTGCAATGGAGATGTGGTTACAGTTACACCGATAATATGTACACGCACACACTCGCACAAAATACATACAGGCACAAACAAATCAAATCAAGCAACATCTATTTTTAACTATACACAAACAATAATAACAACAACGCGTCATACCAACAGCACTGCATTGTTATTATTATTGACAAATACCTACACACAAACATCGATACAACTTCTATGTGTGTATGGGTGTGTGCGCTTGTACTTGTGTATGTGTGATCGCAAACTTACCACCCAGCAAATCTTCTGTCGATTTTGGTGTCGTAGACATTTTGTTTTTCTCTGTGTATGTTATTGTACGCTACGTTCGTACAGCAGTTTAAATTCTTTTGTTAGTTTGTTTTTTGTACTAAACACGTCGTCTAAAGATAACTCGTTTGTTGTTATTGCGGCGTACAAATAAATTTATGCAGATTAAACTAAACTTTTTGCCACAGCGGCCCTTGTATTGCACATATGTATTTACGTGTATGTCTGCGTATGTGTCTGTGTCGTGTAAGTGTATGCGTGAGAATATGCGTTTTACTTTTTACAGTTCCTGTTCCGTCTGCACTGTTTGTGCTTTTAGCTAAATGTAACAGCTGCTGCTTTTTCTATGTTTGAAGGTTTAATTAATAATATGCGCTTTCTTTTAGTGCAAGTATAATACACAATTTTTCTTTTACGCACGCAGCAAAAAACCTAATGCGTAGTTCAGCTAAAGCTGCGGGATGCAGCGAAAACACAAACGGTTCGTTGAAAAACACGAAGATGACTGCCCACAAGCACAACAAAAAATGCGACAAGACGAAAACATAAATGAAGCGAGGAAGAGGAAGAATACCGAACTTAACGCAAACACGGCGTTGCCAGACAGAAAAAAGAGTGCATCCCTGATATTGGTGTTGCGCGCAGATAAACTTTTATTAACGTGTTTTCAAAAACAAATCAAACGTCTGCAAATCACTTTTCGCCACATTTCTTACAAAATAGAAATTGTTGCCTTGCACAATTTCGCTGGGTGAAATATACAAATCTTTTTGGCAATCGTATTGTGCGCGTCCCAATAGCTTAAGAAATTCGTGTCTTTCACGCAAACGAAACTCGCGGGAGGCGAGCAGCTCCGGACACTGAATAATCTGTGCATGGCTTAGTCCCATATCATTGTGCACATAGCTAAAACGTTCGACGAGTTCATCCGGTGCTGAAAACGGCGTAAAGTTAGTTAATTAGAAAACAATATAAGCTCATATTTGGCTTACGAATCATCATCAGGCGCGGCTTGCGCACGACTAGCGATTGCAGCTCTTTGGCACTGAAACCCATTTCCTCGCGTAGTGTAAAGACGGATTTACGTAAATGTTCCATTTTATAAGTTATCAGACGGGGTTCCTTGGTGGCCAGCAGGCGCAGATCATGTCCGCTCAGGTGAAGTTCTTTTTGAAAGTATCCCAAACGCCGATCAACGCGTCTCGTCGAGAACATTAACCAGTATGGATTTTTTGTGAAGATGCGCTGCAGTGCCTCGTTAGAAAAACGTTTACTTTTGAGGTACGCCACACGTGTTTGTAGGTCATCCAGATCTTCCTTAAATAACAGTGGATTCTTCGTAATCATTTGGCCAAAGTCATCTGGTGATACCCCGTTATCCGCCAAGAATGTTAAGTAAGGCTTTACATTTTGCTCGAAGTCCAGCCGCAGCACAAACTGGCCCAGACCCTTGCGCCGCTCAATGCTATGCAGATCAACGCCCAGGCTTAGCAGCTGTTGCAAGGTGTTGGAGCTGTTCACATGGGCAGCCAGATTAAATGTGGGCACGTGTGCCTCCCGGCTGCCAAAGTCGAAAGCAACATCCCGTTGGCTTTGGTTTTGTTCGGTGAGTCGATTTTCTGTCGACTTTTCATGTCGTGTTACTTTTTCTGTGGCTGGCACGATAACTTCACTATGCACCCTATTGGGTGTTCGCAAATATCTTAATTGTTCACTTATTTGATAGCATTTTGTTTTTATTTGTGTTGTTTTCTGAATTTTACTAATGTTACGCACCCAAGAGCAAAGCATGGCAACAGCTGACTGGCAGAGTTGCCAGACGGTTTGCTTGGTGGGCCACTCGTTGCTCGAAAATGTGGACAGCTGTTGCTATCGAAATATCGATACTATCGAATAAAGCACCAACTCTATCATACATTCCGATCTTGTTTTTCCTTTTGTATTCTTCTGATAAATAAATTAAATAAAACATAATTTCATTAGTTTTAGTGCTTAAATTATTAGCAGCATTTATACAGAGCATATAATTCAAAACAGCTGGTGCAATGGACAAGCTACGTCGTGTTTTAAGTGGCGAGGACCGCACGCCGGAGGAAGAGAGCAGCATCATTACACAGGTGAAACCATATCAATTAAAATGCCATTTATTAACAAATTACAATGCATATACATTTTTCAATAATTGCAATTATGCTTCAATCGTTGGGCCCTCTCACTGCAAACATGGTCTTGCCAAACCGCCGCCCACCCCGATCACACGACTGATCTGTGACTCAACGCTTTATCAACTGGTTTATTTTTGTTATTTTTTTTTTGAATTGCAGATTAATGACATGTCAACCCTAAGCTGGAGCACCCGTATCAAGGCCTTCTGCATATGTTTCGTATTGGGCATGGTGTTGTCCTTTCTGGGCTCGATTGCCCTGTTTCTGCATCGCGGCATTGTCGTCTTTGCCGTTTTCTACACAATTGGCAATCTGGTGTCTATGGCCAGGTGAGTTGACAGCTGAATTTCGCATGTGCTGGCTAATTGATTATAAATATATCTCTATCTGGTTGCAGCACGTGTTTTCTCATGGGTCCCATTAAGCAGATCAAGAAAATGTTTGCCGAAACTCGGCTGATCGCCACCAGCATCGTGATCGTTTCCATTGTTATGACATTCGTGTCAGCTATTGTGGTATAATATTGTTATTCTCGTTTAGTTTGTTGAATCATCTTTATTCTTTATTTTTTAAATTGTTGTCTTTTGTTTTTTTATTTTTATTTTAGTTAAAAAAAGCCGGCCTCACGCTTATATTCATAATCATACAATCCCTGGCAATGACCTGGTATTCACTCTCGTATATACCCTACGCACGAGATGCGGTCAGAAACACAGTCTCGGCATGCTTTGAGGTTTAGTCTATAGTATTTTGTACAGTACGTTTCATGAATATTCTTTGAAAACATTGTAATATGTATTAATAATTATTTACTTATTTAGCTCTTAAGTTTCTTACGTGGACAATTAAAAAATTGTATTAATCTAGTTTTAGAGCTTAGGTGTTTTTTCTTTTGCTTCACGTTTGCTTATTAACAAATTTTCGTTGGTTTAATATCAATTATACATACACATACACAATATAAATTTAATTTAATCAGTACAGTTTGCATAAATTGTATGTACATTTTATAGAATCGCCTTTTTATTTAAGTTTTTTCGTTAGTTTTGGTTTTGCTAAAAATGGCCTCATTTGAGTTTCTTCTCTTTTGCCGGCGACAAATTACCTAGAAAAACAAAAACAAATATGTTTGAAATAATAATTTAGCAAATGAATTTAAATGTAGTTAAACTATTTTAATTTTAATTTCGTAGTGCGCTGTGCTAGGCCCATCAATGGATTTACTTCGTGGCACATGTGCTTAACACGTAGAATGCAATTCCAAAGAGAGTAAAAGAAAGTTCAAAATGAGAGTGAAGTGAGTTGTAGTTGCAGCTTTCACAAAGAGCAGAAAACCATTGAAAAATAGAAATTAACGTAACGTACAACAAAAGTGTTTTGCAGTGTTTATAAAAAAATAGTTTTTGCCGCTAGTTTAGAATTCTGTGATAGATATACCTTTAGATGGGGAGTTTTGCGCACTGTCTCCTTGTTTTTTACTCAGGGCTGGAATCGTTGAAACCTTTTTCAGTTGACGTTGCTGTTGAAAGTACAAATATTGATTTACATTATGCTCGAAAAGTGGGTTGCCCTTTTGGTTGCACTTACCTGCCACCAGACAGCTACGTAGACGAATGACACCGATATTAGCACCTGCACGGTCAGCCAGAGCACAATGTTGATGGCTTGCGTGCGCTCAAACAACTCCTTGCCATTCTTAATGCAGAGAATGGCCTCGGAGACCATAATAGCGCCGTAAACCCAACACTGGGTTCCGACACGTTTGCAGCGCGTGTCGGTGACGTATACATAATATTGCCTAAAATTAAAAATAATTGAATAGAAAAAAGAAATAGTTCAGTGATTTAAGGTCACGTACCTAACCGAGGGCGCTACAAAAAGTCCTATGAATATTAAACGTCCAATAACAATAAAATGATCGGGCGGCATCTCGAAAATGTGCTTCAAGAAGAACGTGTTCAGTTCGGTGACCTGCCAGAATATGACCAACTGGATAACAGCAGCAAATCGCATTGCCGTGGACTTGGGATCCAGCCAGCGTATGGCTGACCAGCTCTCTGGTGTAAACTGCAGCATGGCACGCTTGATTTTTCCAGTGGTTGTTGATATATCCTTAATGCTGGCCCATTTGTATTCGCGCATCTCGAGTATTTGGCATATCTTGAGGCCCACCCAAATGCCGAGGCCATTGCAAATGATAACATCCAAGATGAGCGCATCCCACCAGCATTCAATAAAGTTGGGCAACAGATGGGCAAATGTGATCTCGGTTATTTCCCACATCACCGAGATGGCCCAGAGAATGCCCATGTGCCGAATGAGTATGGCCTTGAAGGCCCAGCCCAGAAAGTGTCCCCAAGCAAATACATCCAAATGACCCTTAACCCGTTCCCAGCTTATGTCCGAGCAATTGACGCCGTATTCCTGCCGAAACAAATTGATAATTAATCTATTAAGGCTGATGTATTTTTTTAGATATGATTCTACGTACCTTCTCCATATCTATGTGAAAGTTCTTTAACTTTGGGTCCAGCCAATAAAATATACTTCGTATTGTCGAATAGTTTTGGAACATGAGAAATTGCAGCATAAGTAAATACAGAACGGAACAGCCAAATAGGATGCGCCACACTGCAGGATGAGGTCGTGTGAATGGTCCATTTGGAAATGCGATTACCGAAATAATCAGAAAGAAGAAAACAATGCATAACAGTCCCGACCAAAGATTATCATCTATGTTAGCCTCGTTCCTGGGAATGTAATGAAATTATGTAGTCAATATAATAATTTTTAGTTTTCGTTATGTTTTCCGATTTTTTGCTTCTCTAATCAGCGCTGGACTTTGAACCGGCCTGTGCCCAGAGTTAAGTGACCTTTTTTGTATGAAATCGAAATGATTGTGTATTGTTGATAAAAGCGAGATTTGTTTCAGAACCATGAGGAGGCTCTTCAATAACCCTGTCGACACATTTGGCAACGCGATCTCTAACGTGTTCATCTGTGCTCTATTCTAAATTAGAGATGATCGTGATGGCACGACGTGATTTTGAATAGCACGAAATGTAAGCGATAAGAAGGGGCAAACTTATACAATTTGACAAAATATCTCACATGTGGTAGAAATTTACAAAAATTGGAAATTAATAAGACTTTTTTCTCCTGTACTTGCTACTTTGTTCTCTGCTATTGTTGTCATTTGTACATTATTTGTTATTGATTGGTTGAATTTGAAATACATTCAATTTGGAAATATATTATTTACATTGGGAAACGTGCGCCTCCCATCAATATATGGAACTGTTACTTGTTTACATAAATAATTGGTAGAAAAAAATTGCTTGGAAAAGCATCTGTAGAACCGAAACTAGAGATTTCATTGAATTAGATTGAATTCATTTTAGAATGACAACGAAACATTGGTAGCATTATCGTGCTTGGAATTCTCGTGCTCACGCGCCCATCCCTATATGCTAACAATGACAATTTCGTTTTCTCAATTTCGAAAGTGCTTAAAAAGTCAACCAAGGTTGACGGGCACATGTCGCCGAGACGCAACAATTGCTCTATTTGACGGTCAGTTGGCCAAGTTAATGTTGATGTGGATGCCTAGCGGTCAGCTTAACCCAAAATAGAAAGATCGATAAATGTGCGCGACTGGCGCACTAATCTCCAAGTGCTGCACTCTTACCTGACAAAGGCGAAATACATGACCGCCAGCACGGAGACGGCCAGAAGGGTGATGGTGTGCGGCTTGTAGAAGAAATCCAAGGAAATGTCATCCACCGGTCGCTCGTTGACAATGACAAAAGTCTGCGCGATTTCCTCTTTGCGCCTTTTACCATTATCGTTGCGTTTGATTGGCGTGGCCGGCGCACTGGCCGCACCAGATATGTACTTTGTGGATGTGGTGCTCTGGTCGCCACCGGAATTGGCACGCTCCTGTTGTTCCCCATCTCCGTCGGTCGGTGTGCCACGTGAATTTGAGCGTTTCTTCATGTCCGTGCAGCACGAAATACAATTATCAGTGTAAGTCTGCGTCTTTGTTGATGGCGTGATTGTGCTGATAATGTTGTTATGTTAGCATGCGGGCAGAGCAAAGGGTTGCGCAACATTCGTTCCACGGTTAATGAGATTCTCCGCTGTCCAAGATGCCGATTTTGTAGCTTTTTGCTAGCCGGGAGCAGCGCCTATTGCGTAGAACTGTTGTTTACTTCAGTTGACAAATGTTTTATCTTATGATTTCGGCATCAATGTTTGCACTGTTGTTAATTAATAAGCATGCTGCGCGGCCGCGTGAAGAGCGGAGAGAGCAAAGGAACCTGCCAATCTGACACTTGCCGGGCAGCAACTACAATTGCTTCGATTTGTTGTGACGGGACAGCGTTGCCATATGTTGCAGCGTTGCCAGAGTGTTTGCTTAACATAGCCAAGTATGCTGCTCTCAAAAACTAAGCAAATCTAATTCGATAACAAAACTAAATAAATGAATGTATGCATACTATAACACATAAAATAGATTTATAAAGTCAATATTCATATATTTGGTATATATTTCAGTTTTCAGATATGCATTTGCGATTCGTGACTAATGCGCGGGAAAATCGTCTGCACAACCCTGTGCAACAGCTGATCCACTTGTTGGTTGCCGCTTAAGTCGCATTAACAAATTTATTTAATTCTGATTAATAATGCTGGACAAAGTTAAAAATGTAATCGTAGTGCTCTCGGGCAAGGGTGGCGTGGGCAAATCAACGGTCAGCACGCAGCTTGCATTAGCATTGCGCGCAACGGGCCATAAGGTAAGTTGCACACTCATGCAAGTTGCAAGTCATGTGCATAAAGAATTTATGCTTCTTATTGGTAGGTGGGCTTGCTGGATATTGATTTGTGTGGCCCCAGCGTGCCGTATTTGCTTGGCCTTGAAGGCAGCGATATTTATCAATGCGAGGACGGCTGGGTTCCCATTTATACGGATGAGAGCAAAACTCTGGCCGTCATGTCCATTGGGTTTCTACTCAAGAATCGCAACGATCCGGTCATTTGGCGTGGACCCAAGAAAACCATGATGATACGACAGTTTCTTACCGATGTCAAATGGGAGGATATGGACTATTTAATCATTGATACACCGCCTGGCACTTCGGATGAGCACATTACTGTTATGGAGTGCATGCGCGAGGTGCCCTGCAATGGTGCAATTATTGTGACAACACCGCAAGGCGTCGCATTGGATGATGTGCGCAAGGAGATCACATTTTGCAAAAAGACCGGCATCAAGCTGCTGGGCATTGTGGAGAATATGAGCGGGTTGGTAAAAACAAAACAACAAACATGATCCAAGACAATAGCTATGCAGGCGCATGAAAGCCTTAAGTGTGATTAATTGTATTCTGTTAGTGCAATTAATACAGCATAAAGTTCAACAGACTGGCTACTATTTAAGACAATTAAGTCCTATTGATTTAGTTTCTAATATATTTTCTATATTTTATAGATTTGTTTGTCCGCACTGCACTGAGTGCACCAACATATTCTCCTCGAATGGCGGCGCAGAGCTGGCGCGTTTGGCTCAAGTGCCGCATTTGGGCACCTTGCCCATCGATCCACGTGTAGGCGTTTTATCTGGAAGCACTGCATCGGTTTTAAATGAGCTGCCCGATTCCAGCACTGCACAAACAATGCGCAATATTGTCCAACATTTGGATGCGCTGACGGCAGTGCCAACGCCCGCCTAGGTGTAAGTACCCGTCACCCACATTCCCCGTTTGTAGTCAGACGCATTTTATTCAGTTCGTTATATTTTATTCGTTATCTATATATTGCAATTATCCAAACGAGAGAACGCTACTAACAAGACCTTTGGTATATCATTTTTTTTGTTTTGTTTTTGTGTTTTTTTTTCTTTTTTTTTTTGTTGAAGTATGTAATTGAAATCAAAAATGGGCTTAAAAGGAATGTGTAATCAGTGCAGCGCATTTCCTTTAATTTCTCTTCTTTTTTTCAACAAATATTTAGCGCGTTTTTGTGGGTGTGCGTGTATTCTTACTTCTAAGCTGGCCAATTTGTGCAGATCTCGCACTTTATAGTTAATATAATTTGTCAGGCAACAGTTGATAAATAAACATGTTAAGTCTTCTATAAAATAATGCTAAGCCCAAACAGGGCAGTACAATTGTTTATAAATTTGTTGAAGTTTTCTAGAAAGTTAAATTTATGCCAGACTACCGCCCTGGATGAACTTAACTAAATACTATATTGTTTTACTTAATTAGATGATTTTACTCTGGATGATATCAATAATTTGCCATATTATCACAATGCATAACTAAATTAATAAATAAATATAATAATTTTTGTGTGTAGTTCGTTTTTGTTTAAAGTTTATGAAAGTATTGCAAAATCGCTGATTCTGCGCGAGCATTGTCTTTAGGCGAGAGTCATCGATGAAATTTTCCAATATATACGATATACCATATACAGTTATATATATATATATATATATATATATATATATATTGTATATGTATATGTACACTTATAGTTATGTATTTATTTTTTGTGAAATCGATTATTCTGCTGTCTCTTTAAGCTGCTTCTGTTTCTCTATGTTGTGCTGCAAGGGCTGATCAATGCGTAGAACCAGATCAGAGGTAGTTGTATTCTCGCTTAGATTTGAATCTGAATTCGGGACCGAAGAATATAGCGATTTACGTTCCTTGCACTTTTTAACACAATAATATATGAACAGGACTAAAACAAGGAAAACCGCAAAGGCGCCGATACTCATAATCCAAACATATTTTTCATTTGATGAATATAGTGCATCATTGTGATTCTCAAGTGCGAAACGATAATCGGCATCATCGATGGTTGAGCCGTGATGCCAGCTGGTCGATTCGGGTGTCAGCGCGTTGGGTGCCGATGTGGCCAACGAACTTGGATGCTGTGTGGTTGAGACTCCAGCGCTGCTGCTGCTGCTCGATCCGGTGCTGTCTATGTCTGATAGTGTTGTATATTCCAGGCTGTCATCTTTACGCTCTGGTTCCACTACCTCAGTTGCTTCGGTTGTCTCCTCAATACTTTCCAGCTCTTGTGAATTGGTTGTGTCATTTGTAAGCCAATCTTTTGTTTCGGAAGCGGACTCAGCAATTACAGATGGCTCCGTTGAAAAATCATTCCATGCCGAGATGTGTTCATTCGCGCCTTCATTGCTGTCTACACCAACTTGGGGTAGCTCTGTGAGCTCTGTGGAATATTTATCCAATTCGTCTGTGGTGCTGCTGGGCATGCTGCTGGGGGTGCTGTTGGAGGTGCTGCTGGGGCTGTTGTTGGAGGTGCTGCTGGGGGTGGTGCTGGGGATGCTGCTGGATGTGGTGCTGGAGGTGCTGCTGGAGGTGCTGCTGGATGTGGTGCTGGAGCTAGTGCTGGAGGTGGTGCTGGAGGTGGTGCTGGAGGTGGTGCTGGAGGTGCTGCTGGGGGTGCTGCTGTCGGTGCTGCTGGGGGTGCTGCTGGAGGTGCTGCTGGAGGCGCTGCTGGAGGTGCTGCTGGGCGTGCTGCTGGAAATGCTGCTGCTGCTCGATTTAGGTGTGCTTGAGAGCTCTGCGAAAACTTGATCGTTATCCAATGTTTTCTCGGTAGTCATGCCCTTTACATTGAAAGGCGTCTGTTTATTTATATCGTGTTCCTCTGCTGGCTTAAATGGCTCTGTTTCGATGGATTCGCTTGAGATCTGAGCAGTAGATTTGATTGTTGAGCTGCTCGGCACAATGGCCGCTTCGGTGGCAACACTTTCCGTGTTTAGACAAACGGGACAGCACACGCCAGGCACTTTTATGTACTGTTCGCATTCCGGCTGTTTGCAGGAGTACGTTTCGCACTCAATAATGCCATTCTTGCAGGTGCAGTGCTCGCAGCCATCTCCCTGTAACCATTGCTCCCCGTTCATCACGATCTGTTTATCATCAGTGATACAGTTGCTCAGTGCACTGTCCGACTGGCAGAATGACTGGCACAGCGGGTGGCAGCTGTTGCATTTGGTGCACTCATCCCGCCAGTAGGTGATGCCCATTCCCCGCACACATTTCGGCTCCATGCCGCACTTATATTCGGTGCAGCAGCTGCCTGGCTTGCCATTGCCTTGGCTCAGCTCGATTAGCACTTCACCCAGTTCACATTTGGGCTTCTCTAGGCACTTGTTGCAGCTGCAATAGCTCTTGGCACAGCATAGCTCCAGCAAATCGGGCTGGATGATGGACACCGGCTTAAATTCCGTGCTACTATCTTCGGGGCACTGAGGCGAATCAGGTTTTTCCGGGCATTCAAACGCCGAGCACTTCTTGTCAATTTCTGTAATTAAAGAGATCGCAAAAGCCTAATTAACACCTATGTGAAACATATAGATAATTGGGTTTTAACTCATTCAATGGCTGCAGACGCATTTGATTGGAATGTGGCGTGAGTTCCATGTGAACTGAATGTTGCCCACAATTGGCCAAGGTTAGTAACTGACCTTTTGCTGATAAAAAAAATGTTGTTAAGGGTGTTATCTAGTTCGATTAGTCGTCTGGTCGGGTATGTGTGGTGTTAATGGCATGTGGATCATATGTGGAGGGTAACTTATTTAAAGGTTCATAAAAAATTGTGCTGCTCAGCCTGATAATGCCAAAAAGTATTGCACATGGACCGCATGTGAGTCGTAAATGTGTAAATATGTTACTCGGCCAATGAGTCATAGAAATGGGCATAGTTTTTATTTTTTTCATTCAAGCTTTGTCAGGAAATATATATATATATGTCCATCTCTCGGTTATATCGACATATTCCGAGTGCAACAAATATTATATAGTTTTCGTAGTTTGGAATTTAAATTCGTGTTTAATACTGTTTTAGTTTCTCAAACTTGACATTTCGAAGGTTTACCATGCGCTCTATAAAAGAGCAAAAGCTCATCAACATCGGATTATTTTATCATATAACGCTATAAGAAAAATGGGTCGCAGAATGAGTTTTTGTATGTTATATTATTTTTCTAACATTATTTTTCTAATATATTCGCATACCAAATCAAATCGTTCTACTGTATTATATGGAACTTTACGGAAATGGGCACTTCTCAGCCAAATTTCAACAAGTGTATTTAATCTTCGTCATGTCTTTCTTGTTTAAAGTTAAATTAGATTTTAATATAATATATATAAATAAAATACATATAATATATATCAAAGTCTATATACCACGTATTCAGCCATAGTTCGTGTCTGTGTTGGGGTTTTTTTTGCAAGCATGTATAAGTTTGGACTTTTACTTGGATAATACGAAAATTGTTTACTCAGTCCTTATCGGCTGCTACACTATATATATATATATACATATATATATTTGTGTGCATATGTATGTATATGCGGAATATCATCTAGGCTGATTGTATTTAATATGACGCCGCATTTTTCAATAGAGTTTTAGGTAAATTTATAAAAATTGCAATTTGATTAGCAATAGATTGTGGACAGTTGAGGAGACCCGGAGACGCATAGCGAGTGTCAGGGACAGCCCCTAAAATACAATTTTTTTTTGTTTTTTGGATACAAAGTACAGTGTCACACTCTCGTTTATCGTTTATTTATTGTTATTGATTTTTGACATTTTATCATTGAATTAGTAAATGGGGGGTGAAAGGGGGGCAGCGGCGGGAGAAATGTGAATGGCAGTCAACAAGCAAAAGCAAGGGAAACATTATATTTTGTATTTGATTTGTATATATATTTTTTTTTTTGGGCAAGAATTTCTTTGCACTAAACGATCGATTGATCGATCCAACGATCCAACGACCGATATCGCGATCTCTTTTCATTGAATCAATAATTTTCAATATGCCATATCACGTTTCTTTGCAGTTTTATTGTTATTATTATTATTATTATTATTATTATTATTGTAGTTCTATTGTGCGCTGCCCTTTACAAAATGCGACGCAATTGATAACAAACTTTCCTAAATATTATCGAGGCTATTGATTTGTTTATTTTCTCTATTGTTTTCTTTTTTTTTTCGTTTTTTTTTTTTTGTTTTTGTTTTCTTTATGAAACCATAACACAAATTGACGTCATATAACCGCATATAGGTGAAGCGCAGCGCAGTCAATTGAACATAATTTAAAATAGATATAAGTTACGCTATCAGAGAAGTCGGATCTATATAAGAACAAACACACACACGCACGCACAGAGGGAGGGTGACAATTGCCTTGGTATTTGTGTACGAAGCGCGTAGAAGGGCGCACATAAGTCACGACATTGCGTGATCTGAGATGAGATCTAAGTGGAATACTAGGGCAGTTACAATGCTTCGCTGATGATATTTGAGATGGACAATCTGCAGAGCGTACAAATTTCATTCTGAAATGAATTGCGCTGGAAAAGCGTTATACAATGTCCATTTTTGTTGGCTCAGCATTAAAAACATTGGGTGTGCTTTCTTTTATTTCTGTTTTTTTTTTTCTTCTTTTCATTTTTTTTTGCCTTTGTTTCGTACTATTATTTTCATTTTGCTGGGTTTATTGACCCGATTGGTCAGCAGAAAAATGCCAAGAATCGCAGTTAAACCAGTTAAATAAACGCAAATACACTGTCGACACGTTCAAAGGTCTTACATTCAATGCAAATTAACTAGGCACATATCCGTCTTCACAAGTGGGTCGAGTCTCTCATTAGCAAACGCGATGCGGGAGGTGGCATCCGCGATAACGAATCTGCGAAATGTACGAATACCAGAAGTGCTAATTACGTCACTTTTTTTTCTTCATGTATACCCTGTTCCATTGAAGATACATCAAATGGGTAGATGGGCAAGTGCGTGGAGCACATCGAATGATCAATTGTAGACAATTACTGTTATAGGAAATCCTTTAAGGTGTAAAGCAGATATTTTCGAAAAGTTTTCACTTACTTGTACAACTCAAGGGTTTCTAATGGCAGATATAATAAAAAAGTTCTCATCATCTTTTCGATCACAATAACAGCTACAATTTAAAGGACTTCTTATAGATGATGTTGTCAAGATAGCATAAAGTTTTGGATGAATAACAGCTCGTTTAAATACTAGACAATAGAAATACTAGATGCCATTTGGAATTCACTTAAAGAAAATAAACTCATTTCTCTGGCAAACTTCTTTACCTCTTTTAACACTTTTTCTTCTCTGAATCGATTCTGATGATTGGAATGATCTAATAATAATCATAACAATAGTTCTAGCAGCTGACTGCTGTCAACAGCGGCACAGGGTATCTATGTGTGAAAGCTTTCACGTTTTGTTGTTAAACAACACACACACACACACAGAGACACACACACACACACATTAAGCGAACATTTCATATTTCGTTTTTTGATTGATCTACAGTCGAAGGTTGCATGCAAAAGTGCAATTCGTTTTCGAGTCTGTTTTCCAGTTTCCAGATGAAATAAGCTACAAGCTACGTAAACTTCTAGCGTCATCGGCATTTAAAAAAAAAATAAATAAATTTTAGTACAATTAGCTGGCAAGATTGTTGACACGCCGCCTCTCTGTCAGTCTCATTGCCTGACATGCAAAGTTACTTAAAACCAGCAAAAAAAAAAGTACAAAAGAAACAAAAAAAAAAAAAAACAAAACTAAAATTAAATACTTAAAACAAGAAGAGGAGGTCGTCGTCGTATCTTAACTACAACATTGCGCTGAGGTCGAGCGCAGAAACGGGTTGATGTAGCCGTTACAACTTGCGGTTGACAACAACAACCGCAACAACAACCACAACAACAACAGTCTGTTGGAGTAATTGAAGTAGTCTAGAGATATGTATATATAAATATATAGCCTCCAAGCTAAAATATCTAACAGCGCAAACATACACTCTCTTACCTAAAAAACCTAAATGATGCTCAGCCTGTCAACGTATTTTGCTTTAATCACACACACGTCAATCACGTATCGCAAATTTGTACATAATTATCGTATAACATATTATAATTTGTGGGGCTAAAAGGGAATTTGGAACGTTTGCAAATTGTTCGATTGATTTACGACTGACTGAACTTTACGCAGATTCGAACTCATTAGAAATCTTCCAATAACTCATTATATTTAGTTAAATCTTAATAACTAGTTCGTTAGACAGCTTTTGAATGACTTGAGACTCTTACGATATAGGGGAAAAATATATAGATATATCTCACAGATATCTCAGACAGTAATATTTCTAGAGCGCGTTTCCTTTTCAAATCATTTTTTTCGCTTTTCTCTTAAATATATGTAAACATAAATATATCTATGTTTTATACATTTAATACAGCTCTAAAAAACATATATATAAAACTTTATAATCCCAAGTAAATGCAACGAAATACTGCATTTTTATAAATAACACGCATATACTTCAGTCTTGTTGTAGTTCTGCCAACTAATAATACTTAAGACTCATTTGATTATCAAAAATTTAAAATAAACACTAAAAACAAATATGAAAAAAGTCTCTCGAAACGTAAGACTCTTCGATCAAGTCTGCTTATTTGTTTGCTTAAACTGTTGAAGCTTTCGCCACACTTATGATATGGCAAACAAACTGATTACAAAATGTACCTACATATATTAATGTGTGCGTGTGTGTGTGTGTGCGTGTGTGTGTGTGTGTGTGTGTGATTGATCAATCACAGTTGAACAGCGTCACGGTCGCATTGGGAGCGTTCGCTGTTCCGCCTGGCGACCAATTAGTGGCTCGTACCCCCCGATGATATTCGGTATTTATTGTCCTTGACTTCATGCTTAGCATGAACCATTAAAGCATTAAAAGTTAAGCTTTTTTTTCTTGTTCTATCTGAAGCACTCACCAGCACACACACACACACAATAGTATGTTTGATAGGTGTGTGCTTGTGTGTATTTTGGGTTTATACGAGCTATTCGCTGGAAATTGCTCAAACAAAACATATTTTCATTGCGTTCAGTCGTACGACAGTCGTATTTAAGCTTATCTTAATTATAGATCAATTATCATATACAAAAGTACATACTTATATAATCGTCTAATGGTACGACTAGTAGCCAAAAAGCATTCGCATTATTAATTATGCGTCAAAACAAACGCAGCTACCCTTTTTTTTTTTTCTTCACGTTTTGAAAGGGGGAGCGCGACGCACAAGATTCTGACTAACGCGCACTGTGGGCCTTGCGCCTGGAATGCTTGACAAATAGAGTATATTAGCCAAAAATTCATTATGATTTATTTTATTTTGCAATTCGAAAACTTTTTTATTTTATTTCACAAAACAAACGCAGCTATCTTTGATTTTTTCTTAAAGGGAAGCGCAACG